GCCAGAAGAACAGTACAGCTGGCCTTCATAAGATCAAAAAATGTCGGTTGAGGGCAAATCAGATCTAGGTCTAAGTTTCTATATTAACCAATTCTTTGCTTACACTGACAGCTGGAACATATCACTTTCGAGTTTCTTCTCTGACTGTGACACAAGAAATAATAACCTTGTTCAACAGAGCAATTGAATTTTGCAGAATTCCTCTAGTGTGCCCTAAAATGTCACAGCTCACTATAATATTGAGCAATGTGAAGAAGTTGCTGCCTTTTATGTTATAAAGAAACCTTTCAAAAGAATGCCTGATTTTACCCTTTTCCAGTCCAGAATGCTTTCAAAACTGAAGTGGATAAAGTTTAGAGCAGCTTGATCTCATCTCATAGCTGTTCTTTGAGCAGGAGCTTTGATTAGAGAGCCTGTGAGCTCCCTCACAACAATAAATATCCTCTGATCAGATTAAATAACATTCAAACCCAAGAATTTTTTAAAAAGCAAAACGCACCCCAGGACTACCTGATGAGGAAGCATAACTCTGTAATAAGCACCTAAATACTAGGATTTGAGTTTAATTTAAATTACAAAACACCCCAATAATTATTAACTCAAAGATTTTCCTTAAAGCCAAGGTAGCAGTTCTGCCTGATTCACAAAGTACCTGTACTATAACACAACTACAATATTTAAACTTGTAGAAGTGAGTAGTTTTAACACACACAGTGAAAAAATCTACTGAAGAGATTTCTATATACAACTTTTAATGAAAACTCAGAGAAAGAGCATGACCTAGCAGCAAGACTTTTTGGTTTTTCTTTGTTGTACAGCATTCGATTTACATGCAGCATTATTAAATAGTAACCTATCTAGACAATAACATATCTAAGATATAAGCATCATTCAAATTAAGTCAGTTTTCACTGAGGCAATGAGTCAAAATTCCCTATTAAAAACTTGAATACAAAAATAGGAGTTTTAACTAACAAGCAACAAACACACACATTATATATTGTCTGATCAAAACATTACGCAATAGAAATTCCAAGTTTATGTATTACAAAATAAAATGAGGTAACAGGAACAAGTCATGGTTGACAAGAAATTGAAGATTTTCAAAGTTTGTCCCAGAAGAATCCTCTTACATTTTCTTTCTGAAAATGTGTTTTATCAGCTTCTTAAAGTGTCAAAAATGGAATAAAGCTTGTTATAAGTAAATATATTCTTTTCAAGAGTGAAAGAGCAAGTTCAACAGTTATCAAAAAGCTGTTGCAAAGTTCATCAGATACACTATTCAGCCTTAGAATATAATTAAAATATTAAAACTGAATAGTTTTAATAAAAGTTTTAATCCTCATGGTGCATAGTAGACAATTCCTGGTCATGTGAAAACTTTAAAAGCCAGTCACACTTGTAGTAGTCAAAATTTTTTAGCAACATTTTTCTCTCTAAACCCCACTTTATAATCAACAATTTTCAGTTGGAGAAAAAGACAAAAAAAATTACAATTTAAAGATTGTGGAAAATATTTTTAAACAGTAAATAAATCTGAAGAAACTAAATTTTACTTATGAACAGAAATAGATATATTTTGTAGGAAAAATTCTTCTTGGACCTGCTATTGTTCAGAAAAGGACTGATCAGTGTTGCAGAAAAGACTCCTAAAAATTCAAATGCCATTCCTTAGGCTACATTTTACTTAATTTGTTCTGGCAACATTTACCTATGACAGTAGTGCTCAGTCTATAGAATATTATATGATGTGGGAGTTCATAGTAGTATTACTTCATTGTTCAACATTAGCCATCATACATAGCTTAAAAAAAGGCTAGATATTTAATTACAAGAGTTTATCTTTGGTGCAAGACTTGCAACTGTTTAGTACAATTTCATCTCAAGCAGTTATCTGAGTTACATGACTTGTGAAGAGCACTAGGACTTTCCACATGAGAATTAAATTGAAGTAACTAGATTTCAGCATTGTAATGCTCAATGAATATTAATGGAATTTTAGACATATTCTGGAGAATGTTAATTTCAATTCTCACAACTATTTACTGAAATAATAAGACGTTTGGGTTCTCTGATGACTGAAGCCATGCTGATTTTTGGGGTCAGAAAATAACTATAAATACAAAAGTAGTCTACAAAGACCTCAGCTACTTATGCTAAGACCTAAAGGGCAGAAGAAAACATATCTGGCCAGCAAAGACATGCTGTAACAAAATCCAACAATGTTTTTCAGGTGTGCAGATTACAAATGGCAAGCAGTAGGATATAAACTAAAGCATGACCTTCGCACCTGCAATTTCTGATCTTTTCTGCTCCTGTCAGACTTCCAGTTCATACAAGGACATGAAACTCCTTACTTGAATCACTGTTTTGACAGTAGCCCCCTTCAAACCTTTACTCCGCCCTCTCCTCTGCACTGGCTCTGCTGTGCTTGACAACCCTCTTGGCAGTCACAGCTCTCACCTGGCCAGCCACTGCTGCCACACAGAGCTGCTCACCTCATCCTGCACAAGAAGCTACAACACTTGCCTCATGACTGCATGGGCTCCTTCTGTGCCACCCCACACCTGTTTCCATGTGCTACTACACACAGAGTACCACACTTTTTCATTCTTCACACGATAAGTATCTAGTATTTAGTGTTAATACCAGAGTATTATTAATGGCATTAATGGAGCTTTCCCATTTATTGAATAAACAAACTTGTGCTATGGTAGTGTTATTTCAGTGTGGTGTAAACCAGCCTGTGTGACTCTCATGTGCCCTACAGCTAAACTCACTGCAGGGAAATCCACAGTCCCTTTTCTTCTGAAAAGCACCTAGGGGTTGATCAACAGTTCCTGGACTAAAGGCAAATAAATGAAATGCCACAAACAAGACAACACTCAAATGTCCTTGCAGCATTACCCTCCTCACCCAGAAGTGCTGACTAAACTTTACCTTTGCTGAAACATAGGATGCAGAAGGAAAAGGTTCAGGATCAGCAGAAGTTACCAGGGTGCAAAAGGAAAGGGGTCAGTTCAGCAACTCTTCTCCATCACACACGGAGTGCCACAAACACGCTACCTCATCAGAAAGGCAGGGAACAATGGGAAGCACAGTTCCTTGCTGTACTCCAGACACATGAGAAATCCAGGAAGTCTCCAATAATTGGGATATAAAGTTTTAAATTTTTTTTCTTTGTAAGTCAGAGCAAGCAGACTGCCTGCAGGGAGCACCCTTTTAGGCAGAACAAGCAGATAGGTGTGTCTACCTATTTGCCAATTTATTATTATGAAAACCTCTAGAAAAACATGCCCATTTAACCAGGATTAACACAGTCCTGGAGGCTTCACTTTTCATCTCCTTTGTGCATGTGTTTCATGCATCTTTATTTATTTATAATAAAGTCCTTACCTATTCCAAAATTTACTTTATTTCAAAGAGGTTTATAAACTTGGGTTTTCTTCAGTAATAGTTCACTAACAAACTTGAAGCTACCATCAGCAGGACAAAACACCAATCTTTTGAGAATGAACAAGAAGTAAACCTCAAAATGCAGTTATTGTTGGAAGATTAATTCTAGCTACTCATATCTAACAAGACAAAAACCTAAAACTAGGCACTCACACTGTGTACATTAAGTAGATAGAAAAATGCAATGCATGTAAAAGTTTTGTAAACTCTTTTCTATAACATTAAAAATGACAACAGGATTTCAAAGGTGTCTTCAGTAATGTTCAATGGAGAGCAGACTTAGTTACTACATTGGCATTCCACAGAACATATTTACATTTGCAGAACCCGAGGGGACATCTTCAAACTATCATTTTTTTAAAGGAGCAAACCACACTATTCATGTGTGGACTTTATCACAACTCCTTTTCACAAAAATATTGATAGAAAATTTTGAAACTCAAACAGTTTAAACAAACTTGTTACAGAACACAGATAGATCTGCAACATTTGTAATACTCCTTCACCATGCACATAGCATTCTCACAATGCACCATTTCTTCTGAAACATATAATACATGCACTGGTGACAGTATAAAAATAAACAGAATCACTCTGTTGAAAAAAAATAGTGTAAGAGTGTTTCTCTCATTTGAAAAATGCATATTTTTTTCCAGATGCTTAACAGTATTATTCTCTTACAAAAACTGAGATGTTCTACACAATTTTGGTTTCACTTGTGCTCACTTTGAATTGCATTACATATCTGAAGCACTAGTATTCCCCAAACTTTGATCAAGAGCTCTTAAATTCTGAATTACACAATGCTTAAAAAATAAATTTCGTATTTCTAGCAGTGTTGTAACTTTATTAAAGGTTTCACTTACTCTCCATGGTCCCAATAAATTATGTGTTTTATTGAGAGCAATTCCTTTACAACAGGCAAGATATATCCATTGTAACTTATCATTTGTATAATTAAATAAAAAGTCCTACCTTTCTCAAAGAACAGAGAACAGCATTCCTAGTGCAAAAACTAGAATTCAGTTGAAGCAGAGTTGCACGTCTCTCATATTTTGAAAAAAAGTTGAAAAATTTTACAACTGTCAGAGAACTGCTCAGTTAAAGCCTGCTTTAAACTTCATAATCCCAAAATGGTGTAAGAGTCCCTTTTCTTCCAAGAACTTGTCAATGGAAGGTTGACATCCAGTCCCACCAGCCATTTAAAGAATGTGTACAAAAATAATTTAATTGGAATATTCTATGAAGCAGGTAATTTTACTAAAAGCTCAGACATTGAAATATTGATTCCTGTTAAAGGGACACCTACACTAACCAGTGTTCAAGGGCTGATTAAACTATGTTTCCCCAAATCTTACTCCAAGATTTTTTTTTTTTTTATTTTTTTTCTTTTTTAATTAGAAAAGATATAACAAATCCAAAAGTGAGTCCATTTTTGGGGTGAGAGGTGGGTTTGCTTTGTTTCGCCAAACATGGGAGAAGGTCCCTTTAACAAGGAAGGAGATAGGTATCACTTAATCAGGATGTGGGTATGGAATCTGTACCTATGGGTAAATGGCAATGCGTTCTGTGTTGGTTCAGCCCTTGGTTCTGAGTTCTGCGTCACTTCTGGCATCGCTCGCTCATCATCTGTCCCGTTAATGCTTTCCGGAGTTAAAGGAGACTGAATATCTCCTCCAGCCGATTCCTTAAGTGAAACAAACAACACATTAAAATTACAAACTGACCTGCCCAGAAAGGTTATGTACATAAAAGCACTAACATTAATTCTTAAACAATACACAAAATTTGGTTAGCATTAATATAATGTTCAGATTTCCAACATTCCTCATGGTCACGTATCACCATGTGTATTTAATATAAAAGCATATTACCAAAAGATGCACATTATCCTGTATGAAACATATGTGGCCTAAGAATTCTTTTTAAGTTGCTACCTTCCACTTATTACAGACCTCTCTCCTACCTGGAATTACATTCCAACCTCATTCTGAAACATGGTGGATGACTCTTGACACTCAGAAATCTTGTCTTGTACTTTACATTCTAATGCAGAGAAACAAACAATTCTGGTATTTGTTTCAAAATCTAGCTTTTGTGCTGTTAATTAACCAAAGTAAACAGTGGGAGGGCCATTTGTGGCATGTTCCCAGTTTCACCTATGAGCCATCTGTAAAGAATACTTGTTCAGCAAAGTACAGGGAAAAAATTTTCATAGGCGTGCTAGTCTGGCCTAGCTCTTGCTGGTTATAGTATTATTTGGGGAGGAGGATAATCCAGCTACACCTAAGCGTACAGATACACATGCAATTGGACACCTGAAGAACTTTAATGGTTGCAGAAGGCACTGCCATGGCTTTCATTATCCTTCATCACACCACATGCACATTTGTGTGTACATTTAAGTACGAAAAACAACAGAATTGACAATTTAGAGGCAAATAAATTACTCTATACAAATGACATGGTTTTGTCTTCTACTCCTACTACTATTATTATTGTTAATATTATAAGCACCCAATAGGATAGACAGTTTCCATTGACAATAAATGAAAGACTTCCTGCATCTGAAAATTTTTCTTCTATTTTTCCTTTTTCCCAACTTACATTATATAGTCTAAAAAATGACATACCACAGTCTAAAAAATCTGGATAGCTTGTATCTTTAAGATAAAAATCCTATGCCACACTTATACTAGACACATAAAATCAGAGTTTATTAAAATGTTTTAAATGTGAATGCACAAAAAATATTTCAGTAGAAGGAAAAAAATGTACAAGTTCCATCTAGTCTTATTTTTCAATAAAGTACTTCCACAGACTTCCACAGACTTCTAATATGAATGAAATTGAAGTAACAAAAATTAAGGTAAAAAAACATCCTAATTATGTAATAGTTAAAGGATCATGGCCTGCAAATTCATGAGCAAAAGAAACTTCAGTTTTCAATGTGTTTCTCTTCTACTAAAATGACAGTTAATCAGGGCTTTCACACATTCAGAACTACCCCTGCCTGATAAGTAATTTATTTGCAGACAACTCTAATGGAGCTGACTATGAATAAGGCACCAAATGTAATAGAAAAGCCACTTATACTGAAAAGATTTTTTCACAAATGTTTACAAATAATATGTTCCCATTTTATATAAATTAGAGGAGTAAAAGTATTTTAGAAACATTTTGTGAGATGTGCATCTGTAATGAAGTTTTTATTGCATACCATTATAACTTCACATGCCCACTCCAGGTTTTACAAAATTGAGGATGACATTGTGATATTCAGTATTTAAATGAAACATAATAGTGGAGTATTCATCAAAAGACATCTTAAATTTCAACATCTTAAAAAAAATAAACTCACATACAGATAGAGTCATTAAACAAGTAGACATTACAGCACAGATCAAACTACCTTTTAGTGATAACTAAAAGGAACAGAAAGAAAATAACTCAGTGGTTCTAAAATCATGAACTAACAAAAACAAGTTTTTGTTTTGTTATTTTATGTAATTTTAGTTGTTAAGTAAGTTGTCACAGTAAGGATACCATACACCTCCCTGGCACAGCTGTTCTTCACAGTGCTTCTCTGCACTGGCTGGCAATGGCACTAAGCCTGCTGGCTACCACCACCCTAACATTTGTTGCAGAAATTCATATAGCATGGAACTTACATTATTCATAACATAAATTATGTTATGAAAGTGACCTTTTTTACAAGCTTGAAGTAAATTTTGTACTTCTACAAAGTCAGAGAAACTGACAAAAAAATTATAAACCAGGATCATTTTACCAAAACCAAACACGTCTTGCACTAAAAAAAATCTGATTGTAAAACTTTTCAGGCAATAGTTATTCCTAACAGTTTGCATAGGAGGTGCTCAGAATCACAGACAAGACCATTCTAAATTACCCATCCCACAATTTCAGAAACCAAAAAGGTCTTGTTCTGAAATGACCAGGGTGAAAAAAAAAGTTATCAGAGTATAGTCATCCTTCGAAAAAAGCAACTAAGATTCTGATGGCTACTGATTGGGATGAAACCTTTCAAGACTGATGGGGTGCAACTGAAAACTGTACAAGCTGCTCTATTTGGTTCTGCACTTAACCTTAATTAAAGTCACTTTTAATAAATAAAAGGGGTGCAGGAAGGTGGACACAATTGTCAGGCTACTGCTTCATGCAGCTCAGTGAACTCCAGATCTAAGTGTAAGTGCATGGGGAAGCTTGTAACTGAGAATAGACTATGGGCAGCTTGCAAGATCCATGAATTTATGACAAGAGCAAAATGATTCCCTATATTACAAGATGGATCTGGGAAATAGAAGGTGGTAGAGCAGGGGAGCCAGTATTTCAGCTTTAAATAAACATGGTAAGAGGATTGCAAGTTTTTCTTAACTAAGGCTCAGTTAAATGGACACCAGATGATATAGCTATGTGCATAGGTCGTCTTGGAAGTCCTAAAATAGATAACTTCTTTCTAGACCAAAGCCTCCAGACATACCAAATATAGATAAATTGTGTACTATGATATGGATCTGTCTTCATACAGACGACTTTAAAGTACAGGTTCTCTGACACAGAAACAATGTCTTACTCTTCATCTTGAGAAAGCCCAGTGCACTCAATGGGACTTATATATAACAAAGCAGCATCTCTCTTCTAATTTGGTGGTCCAGGCCACTGTCCTTCTCTGAACAAGTTAAGTTCTCTTTATAGTTAAGGTAAATGGTAATTTTATCTATTATCTGATATTCTGGATAATTAAAGTAAAGTCTGCTGGTAGACAGCCAGAGAACAGGGAATATTAAAGAATCAGGGAGAATGAAGAGTTTAAAATTTGTAGCAGCATTGCTTAGGGGAAAAGGAACTCCTGCTATTAAGTAACTGCAAATTAGGCTATGTATGGTTTTATTTCTACATGTGTTTCACACACACACACACCAAAAAAAAAAAAAAAAATCCAAAGAATATATTTCATCAAATGAAACAAAATATCAGAAAAACCCATGGAACTTCTACCTCCTGGCCATTGAGACACTTTATAGGAGCAACACTTTGCTACAGCACATAACGCCTGACAGAATCAACCTAACTCCAGTGGACTCTAGGCAAAATTTCTCTTAAATTTTAACATGTCTAGAGTCTGTGAAATACTTGAACTACAAATACATACCAAATTTCTGAGATATTTTTGCTGTTATCTCTTGATTTCTCTTTCTCTGCAGTTTGCCAAGTTTTTGCATGGGATTCAGAATTGAAACTTACATATGGCAGAGGTATTTTCAGGCTTGCATCAAACAACAGTGAACATCAAACGTCTTGTGCAGTGTTTCTGTTACACAGTTGTACAGAGATTTCCTAAAGATTCAATCTGTAAGGGCATACTGAGGCAGAAAAGTGTACTTTTACTCTTTTAGAATTCTGTAGTAAGGAGGGTGAGAACTGTACCATAGCCAGTACTTGGATTAACTGGTAAATAATTTTTAAATTAATAAATATTAATAAATAATTTTTAAAAGCTGTACCAAGAGAAATAAAACATTCTATTTAAGTTTGATATGTATATTTTTCAGTTTTGATATACAGTATTTTCCTACTTATTACCAATTTAACACAGAGAGATTATCTGCATGTCCAAGACTGCAGAGGGACTGATCCATTTAGATAATTGATTTACCATTATAGAGTTTATATACCTCCCAATGTCAATTTGGGATTATTTGTCAATGCTGTCAAAAAAGCCATTAAAAAAGCCAGGTTCCTGAAAAGTGTTTACTGACCATTAAAAATATCTCATTCCTCTTTCACCCTCACCCTCTGCAATGTATCACTATGCAAAAGGGGAAGAAGAGCTATAAAATGATTCAGAAAGGCAACAATTGAATTATTTGCCTTGCAGCCATCTTTTAGCAGATGACAAAAATGAAAGCAGGTGCTCTCTACCTCTCTATGGCCCCACCTTCCCTCCCTAGTACCAAGCACCCATCCTCCTCCCAGTCATAAATCCAACTGAATGAGCCCAGTACCACAGAAGTGTTCAAGTTTGCCATGATGCCATCACTTCTTATCTGTTCTAAACTCTGAAGCTCTTGATTTGATTCCCTTCTCTCTAGGGAACTAGAATGTGAAGGCTACTATGCTCATGTTTCAGCACTTGCACTAACTGTATTACTCAGAATAATACACTAGCTTATCAACACAGTGAAAAGCCAAGAGAAGAAAAGTAAGGTCTGAATTGGAAATTATTCTTAAGTGTGCCATAATGAAATTGCAGCCCTCAATAGGCATTATAGAATCACTCAGAGTAACATTTCTGTAACTGCCTACAGTATGAAATGTTAGGTTTCAACTGTAAAAAGAACTCAGTACAGGAAAATGAACAACATTAATAGCTCACACAGTTTAGAAGAAAGTTTTAACCCTGATGAACTGCAAGACAAAAGTATCCTGTCTCTGAGTGAATAGCTCAAATTTACATCCAAACCACATAATAAGTCACTCTATGTGACAGTGTTGGATTTAACTTCTGAGTCCAAATTATTAATCAAAGTGTCAAAAGAGAAGCATAATAATTTTTTGCCTATAACATCAAATAACTAGAGGCCTGGATGAAGCACTTCACTGTTTCTAAAGTCAAGTGTATATTACTGACAAGCATAAAATATTGAAATACATACTTTCATTGTCTCTGAGAATTTATCAGAAATTTAGAGAAAGTAAAGTAAACTCATAAAACTCCCTGCCTTATTTTCTTTCCATTTCAGTGGAGCAAGCAGTTTCCCATTAGCAGCAAAAGCCAGCCTAGCATTTGGGCAAAATGCCTATTGGGAAAACATGAGGCTTGTTCATTGTTTATGTTCTGATTTCCACTTACTTCTCTTGCTAGGACACCAGATGTAGCTTTCTGGTAGCAATAAAACTATTTGTGCAGCATGCTGCAAACTGCCTGCCATCCTTACTCCATCAAAGAGCAGGAGCCTATTACAGTAAAAAGGTCTGAAGATACACTGATTCAATGAAAAAAGACTCCCCAGAGAAAAGGTTCAGTCTACTCAACTCAGGAATCCCTGCTGTAGTTTTGAAGCTGTTGCATTCTCCAAGAGAAGGATTTGCCATTGTCTTCACTACTGCTTAAAACAAAGCTAACTGAGTCAAAAATCTTGGGCAGGTGGAATACAGGAGATGGGGCAATAAAGCCTCAAGGGATTACTTTTTTCAAAGCAAATTCAAATTTGCTCATAATTAATTTTAGCCATAACTAATATAAATATGAATATAGTAACTGAGTCTCTGATCATGCCTAAATTAACTCAGTTCATGTTTTGAGACACCTTTTATTTATAAACTCTCCCTGTACATCATGGATAACTGTAATAAAACTCCAGAACCAGTCTGTGAATGTATTGTCTTCCTTCAATGCATCTCACAAGAGAAAACTACACAGTAGGAAATAAGTAAAAATAGTTTGCTGTTTCAACCTTTATTTTTGGTGCAATAATTGTTCTATAGAAGTTATTTACAGTGCACCACCAGAAGTTTTGTGGATACAATGGGAAATAGTAAAAAAAGGGTTTAGTATAGCTCATTTACATAATCATGTTTATTAATTTTCTTGGGAAAGCTGAAATAAAGGAAAAGGAATATTAAAAACACCCGAATTTATTATAATGCAAGTCCTTTTAACTTATCTGCAGTATATGTCAAAAGTATTTTTAAGTATTTTATTTTCTTGACACTCTTTCTGACCAATGAGAGGATTCACAGTAACTAAGAAATTAATTTTCATTTTTAATCTTAATCTTCTAATTTTAATCTTGAATTTTTAATACATATGTATGTAAGGAACAATATAGTAAGCAGCATAGACAAGAAGTATGATGCTTGATTCAGGCAATAAGACTCACTTGAGAGGGTGTACTTGTTAGCTCCATTTTTTCATGGGATTTTTCCTTTGCTATTCGCGCAGCTTCTTTGAACTCCTGAAATTTTTCAGCAAACTGAAGGTACATATGTTAAAAGAATAAAAAAAAAGAAAAGAGAGAAAGAGTAGGCGTGAAATAATATATTACATGCAGAACAGAATGCTGTACTTTTCATTTCACAAAGTCAAATTCTGTCAGTAATTTTTAAAATTTTTCTCCTTATTAGATATTCATTTAAATGAGTTGCACAGTGACATATCTTTCAGGCATAATACACACTCTTTACATGTCAGGAAAATGACAATGCAATGAAGCATGATCTGTTGCTGGTAGTTTTAAGAAACTCACCTCAGAAATGGCTAATAATAGGGACAAACTGCCTTGCATAGCTGCTTTCAGATTCAGATTTTACCCTCCTCAAACAACAAATAATCTGTTTCTGAAGCCTAATGCGGTCACCATGAGCCTGGAAAGCTTTCAATGTAATTTGTTCTTTCATGACTGAAACAATACTGATTTCTTCCCAAATTTTAACTGCATTTTTAATTTAAATAGCTAATTAGAAAAGCACACAAAAGGAAATACTGTGTTCATCTCTAGAAAGTTCATTGACATCAATCATGTTAAGGAACAAATTCATTGAACTAGAACTGCCTATACTGAACACTAATTCCATGATATTGCACATGGAACTGCCTTATGAGGCTTTATTTCTATGCTACACGTACCTATTCCAGAAAATAGCTAAAGCAGCAATTTAGAAATATATGCCCCCTTAATCCTGAAAGATTAAATCAATTTGTTAAGAATAGGGCCTGGTTTCTCTGGATAGAAAAGAAATTGGCTTCATAGTTCTCATCTTTCCACTACGCTAATTGCTAGAGTAGCCAGCCACATTTGTTTTTGTGTCCTACTGCTTTTATACAGAACATTATCTTAATATGATCAGCTAAAGAATGAAATTATTCTGCAAAAGTATCAGAAACTTTTCCAGCAGCTTCTAAATCTCTTTGGCAGCAGCATATGAAGAAATAGTTTTGCACTGTCTCTCTCGATATATATAAGGTACAAAGGCTACATTTTGTGTGGTACAACTTCACCAATTATTTTCAATCAGAACTTCATTTACTATGCAAGACCTAAAAAACCCTATTGTCTTTAAGGCTTATTCTGGTAGGCTACTAGTATCAGAGCAAATGTAATTTCTCTCCACTTGTATTCTGTATTTAATTTCTTATGTTATTTGAAAGCCTTTTTTTCCTGAATATTTAATCCAGCATCAAAACAAGTCTCAGAACAGATGATGAAATTGGCAACAGATCACCAGAACCAGATAATACTTTTTTAAGGCTTGTGCCTAAACCTCAAAATCTCATGGGTAATTATTTAAATCAGCCTTAAGATCAGAGAATTATTAAATGGCAAATATGATGCTGAGGTTTGGAATAAATTGCTGAAGACAAAGGCAGTAAATATAACAGCCATAGAAACATTTAAAAAAAATATCATAGATCAATAGACAGTCTTCTAAGAAAGAGCCAAAAAGCCCAGTTTGGTTGATATTTTCACAAAGCTTCTAGCATTCTTTGAGACAAACAGGTGATGGATAATCACTATAGCTATCTCTTGACAAAATTCCTCAATAACAATGATGACATCTCATGGTATGAAAGGAGAATTCTTCTGAAAGATCACCTTATTAAGAAAAAGGTGAAAAATTGTGCACGGAGACTACATAAGGCTGCTGCCAGTAACCATGGTGGCACTTTCCACTTTCTTTCTAGCATATTCTTTAAGTTTTAATAAATAAACCAGGTAAGAAAAGCAAGACGGTAAGAGAGCAAACCCTAAAAGGAGTATTTCTTCTCATATATCAGGATACTATCAAAAGTATAGATGTATTCTGAATGAGAAAGTAGTCTCAACTTCTCCTGAAAGTGAGAGGACATTCTGATTCTCCTACTGCAGCAATAAGAGGGACTCTGCTAACAAACTGTGGTCCTGTGAATATCCTCCAAAACAGGTATTTTTCAAGTATCACCAACATCTGATGGAGCAGTCTTGAGATCAATTTGTGGTATAACATTGATAAAAGGCCTAGTAAACAGATAAAAACCTTTAATTAATTTTCCTCTATACTTTGCTTGTATGTGGAGATTAGACAGCCATTAATTTTCCATCAGATAGTCTCACTCCACTAATTCATATTCACAATAATTGTACAGAAAAGAGGTTGCCATTGTTGCACTCTACCCTAACAATTAGTTCAGAAGGACAGAGGCATGAGCACAAAAAACAAGTAGTATGAAAGTCAAACATACTATAAGATATGCAGACAATAATGTGAGAATAAACAGTTTACTTTATCTGCTGTGATTATTTGCATCATTAAACTGGGGAAATTGGTCATACGCTAGACTAGCTTTTTTTTTGTAGTTGCAGGCTGCCTTTTGCTTCCTGGAACTTAAAACACTTACAATCCTAAAGTGCTAGCTGTATCAGAGTGCTCTGGTAAACCTGGCTTCTGTGATGCACAGAAGTGAGAGTAAGTAATCTGAAGGAGAAACAAAACAAGAAAGAGAATATAGATACAATTTCTTTAAAGTTACAGGGCAGATCTAATTCAGGTCTTTTAATTCCCAACCAAATATCACTACCAATTCCAGTTGCTGAACAGCTTTTAATCTAAAGAAAAGTTTTCTTTCCCCATAAATATGTTTATAATTTTTTAAGTAACACAAATTTAAATTTACTTATTTACTTAAATTTAGGAATTTAAGTAGCAAGTAAATTGGCTATTGCAACTCACATGAATATCAGCTTAATTATTAAGATGTAATACGACAGGAACAGTATGATGAAAAGGATCTATAGATTCACCCTAATCTTCAGAAAAAGTCTGTGATTTTGCGTTTTTTCTTAATAAATTTGCTTATTCTTCATAAAACAGCACTCTGAGTAACAGCTCAGCAAAGAATAAATTGAGAAAAAATGTCTACAGTAGCCTTTCAGATAAATTTTTTAACAACAATATCCAACTTTATGTCAAAGGCATATTTGAAAGTCCCAGACATCTGCTTGAGGGCAGTGAAAAGAAGGGAGTTGAAAGAACTGTAATTAAAAAGGAGACAGAGGGAGGACAAAAGAAGAGTTGAGGACAAAGCAGATTAAAAAACCCCAATGTATTTTCACTGGCAAGGATAACCTAGAACTCGAAGTCAGGCAAACAGAGTGTGAATGACTACAGCAGGATGCTTTGCCTTCAAAGAATCACCTGTGAATAAGAAAAACAAAGTAGTCTACAAGAGTAGTAAGCTAGATCAGCATTTGTGCTAAAGCCATTGAAATATTAAGAAAAGTTATTACCATGTTGGTAAGCAAATGCTTCTACACACTAAATTAACAGATGAGGTTTACATGTTCACTGAAGCAATGATAAGTGTGCAAATACATATACAATGCCAGAATCACTCAGAACGCCCTGTGTTAGTGTTGCTTTGTGGAAAGGAAAACCAAATGATTATAAAAGGAAGAAATCTTACAAGCTTGATGCTTGCCGAAATAAAGTAGCTGCACCGAGTCTCATTTTAACGGTTTTCTGGCAGGCTGTGCTTATCCTTGGATAGTGACAAGTCCTTTCCTAAAAGGGTTGCTTTGATTACTCTTCCTTCAAACAGTTAGCCACCATTATTCCCTTCCTGAAACATGTACATTTCTTATTGCACTTGGGTGTCCAAATCCTTTAACTCAAATATGAAAATTTTCTGCTTAATATAAAGACAAGTTTTTAAACTTGGACTCAAGAAAAAACACATTTACAGGTTTCTGGACTTATCTGCCAAGGCAGTAGCAAAAACAAAGTAATGTAGAAAGGATGCTCAGAGGACCTATGCCATCAGTTTGAGAAACAAGGATTGCTGCTTTTCTTGGAATGAGGTCTATTTCCTTCCTGCAGAAGTAGACTAGAAAAGAAACTCGTGTGTCGCACATAACTGCTTTAACAAACATTTCAACTTTTGCATTCCAGTAGACAATGTATTTTTCTTTTACACTGAATTTATTTCCCATTAGCTTTACAATTAGCTTTTTATGGTTGCAAACTTTGAAACAGCAGTAATTTAATGTACTACATCATAGAAAAGTGAAAGTGAATGTAGCCTAAAAGACAAAAATACATTTGAAGACTACCAGCAGTTTTTTTCTAGGAGATCTAAATACACAAGAACCACCAAACTGTTTACTTCTTTAATTTCTATCATGAAAAACTGAAATGGAAGAACAATTTTTAAAAAAGAAAAACCTAACAAATCAGTAATTATTAAGCATTAATAACACAGTGTAAGAGGCTTTAATCTTGCTTTAATCTCTTTCATCAGTTAAAAGAAAATTTGCAAATATCACACTTATTCTTGTGTTTTTACATTTTAAGGATTCAGACAGAATATTTTTTGAAAATTACTTTTAAATAACAACAGTAGTGAGTATTGAGTCAAGATATAATGAACAAGAATAAAATACACATAAGTAGCTTCACTAGCTGAAACGTCGCCACTGGTCATACTTACTTTTGAAAGGTGATGTTCAGATGAAAATCCCAAGCCATAGACTGTATTCGCCCTACTATCTGCCCACTGGCCAAACTTCTGTGATGTTTTAGTAAATGTCATGTTGGGGGTGATGGTGCTGTTTATTATTGCCTGAAAAAGGTAATAATTGTAAAAAATGGGCTTAGTGGGTTTTTTTCGTTTTTTTTAAAGCCAACTCATAACTGAAAATACCAGTATTGTAGGCAATTATCTGAATACACCAAATGAGACACACACTGGGAAACAGAAAACTGGTTTCTAGTTCAATCCCAGCTAAAATTGCAAAGGAGTATTTTTGCACACATTGTGTAAAAGGAGGAAAAGATGGGGAGGGGAGTAGACATCAATTCACAATTGCAAGCAATCCTTTAAAGTTTCTACGTATAAGGACTATCAAAGTCCTTTTATGTCTCACAGTTTTATTTCTTTGTCCCCTAAGACAGCGCCTCTCAAGTTGTCTATCAACTCCACTGCTGCTCTCCCCCAACCCCTGTTGCATATGAGATTCTCACTGAAAAAAAAACTCAATAAAACAAAGGAGCACATTTTCTTTATTAATTTCTGTTCTACAATAGTCTTTTTCCTTGACACACATACAAGAGAGGATAACAATGGCAGGGTCATACACCAACTACAGAAATGGAGCTACTCTTGTTATAATTTTTTTCTCTAGTTCTTGTTCTTGCATTTACATAAATCCTCTAGCATTTAACTTCTGATAATACAAACACAAAATGCAATTACTAGGTGATAAGCTTGTTTCACTGAAGTTTCACTGTGTATTTAAACAGTATTTCCATCACATTAAAGAGTACATATGGAAGCACAAACTGTACAGATGTGAAGAACGTAACACTATTTTCTCAGGATGGTGACTGAGAAACTTTAACAACATAGAGACCAAGAACTGCTCTCCTAAGATCAAGATCCTCTAGAAGTCAAAATCAGTCAATACTACTTGAGTGATATGGACTTCTGGATGGATATTGAAATACCTAGCTATTTAAAGGAGTTTACTTTGCACCCTTTGCTTTTGCTGAGAGATTTGGGTACCACTGGAGCAAATTAAAATTTTCTATGAATTCTACAGGGCAAGACTGAAAAAATTAAAGCTGAGGGGCCAGCTAAGCTCACAAATAGCACAAATCTACGGTGATTCTTACATGAAGTGGTGGAGAAGAGTGTTCTTCTCAAGCAAGGAAGTTCAAGAGAATACACTGAATTACAACGTGTAGAAAGACAAACATGCTGCAGCACAGATAAATTTAACAAAACTCTTTCTTGGTAACTTTGGCAGATTCACTGCCACTCACATTAATGAAGATGAGCAAATCTGCACATAGCCAATTCTTTCTGATGACCTTTGCCTCTAAATACAATTTTTGCCTATGACTGTGAACAACTCCTTGAAAATTCTGGAAGGCCTGAAAACTTACATTTGAGCCAAGAAGCCTTATCAGATCAAAGAGAGGATTTGCTGTGTGACCAGAAAATGGAGAACCTCTCTAGTACTGCCTGAAAGACACCCTTCAGATTTCATACAGAAGCTGCTCAGTGAAGTCCCTAGTACATGAAACATGACTCTCCTTTGTTTAGGTATAAGGTTTGGAGGTCAAATAACAATATCAGACTTCTATTTGCACAATCACAACTGACCACCTTGAAAACAGTCTTGTCCATAGCACACAGGACAAAATAAAGAATATTGAATATTGAATTTGAATATTGAGAGAATTGAAATATTGGGAGAATGAGAATATTGAATCCTGTGAGACAGGACTTCTCAGAAAAGAGGTGCTGTGGAACTCTTTTTTACTTGTATGCTTCTTATCTACTTTTGCACTGTTAATGGTTGGAAGCCCACTTTTGAAAAACCAGGTGGAAGCCCAGAACAGGGCTGTGCAAGCTTATTTAATGCTCAATCTCACTTCCTGTGGAAGATGACATCAGTAATGTGCTTGAAATTAAATATCTTGAGAACTGTGTAGAACATAATTTTCCTCCCAACTCAAGCTCTAGCTATGTTGTCTAGTCTGCTTAAGACTAGGCCCATCCATTGCTTGATTAATTGAAACCTGCATCACATATTTGAGTATTATGTCATGGACATAACTTCCTCAGGTCAGAAGAAAACTCCAGTGCCAGACAGCTAAGACCTCCAAGCAAAACACAATTTTAAACTCTTCATAACTGCATTCTTGCAGCGACAGCAGCATAGCTGGTTGCAGCTTAACCTAGTCAAAAACCTGGGAGAAATGCTTCTGCTGACCACATGACAGGCTGCAGCATGGAAAACCTCAACAAGGTGCCTGGTCCAGAATAGGATAGCTTTTTTGACAGCAGTCTGCATTTAGGGTAGGTTATGTTGACTGTCAAACCACTTTCTTGAGAGAGAGAAAAGAAGAAAGAAAACTTTTTAAAAATAATTGTGTTGAGAGAGAGTTGGCTGTGATTCTTCCCTTTATTTTCCAAGAGAGAAAAATAAAGATGTTTCACTTCAGTATTCAGTAGACAGTATTAATCAAAACACTGGGAAGACTACATGCAGATCCCAGTAGTAAAAAAAAAAAAAAAAAAGTCTTTCACTGAATTTACTAATTTTACAAGGAAAAAAAGTTTTTCCATCTTCTGTAAATTAAAAGACTTGGTATGCTAGGTCTCTCACATGCAAAACCATGCTTTCAAAAGTATAATGCTAGGCCATCCTACAAATACAGTCCAGTATCAGCTGCCTTGGGAAAGAACTAGATACCAAGCCCTTGTATATTTAGCTTAAAAAAAACCATTTATTTTTTAGATCAAAATTTATAATTAAGCCTGTCTTGTCCATTCAAGTGGGTACTGCTTTAACTGCGCTCCTCTAATCTGTATTTCACTGCAGTTACCAGTATAACAAGTGTCAAATATTTCATCAACTTTTAAGAATGTTGTTTCCATAAATGAACAAGAACATCTTAAAAACAGAACAGAGTCAATCTAACAGGAAGACATTTAGCTTTTGAAGAAAACTGGTTTAGTTATCTTCAGGGTTTTTTGGAATTATAAAATGGCTTTCATGTTTCCCTTTCATATTACTATAGCAATGAGAAAGTAGGGCATATGTCTGCGCTGTTCATTTTACTGACTGCAAACCTAACAGCTGCAAGATATATAGTAGTGACCAAATATGATTTTATCTTGTGCTAAAACTTATGGCAATAATAATTTAAGACACAGAACTTTTTAACTTCTTCAAAGGAAAATCACTGAACACTTGTGCATATAGGTCTTACTTAAAATATTTAAAAGATTGTCACTTTAAAGTGAGACAGTAATTAATATAACAAGATCATCTGCAGTAACACTGATGGGAGACTTGAATGAGTAATAATAAATGCAAGGTTCATGGAACCTGCAGACTGGGAAACCACTCTTTTCCAGCATCTTCTCTTGTTCTAGATGAATATGAAATTTTAAGTTCATTTTTCTACCTTGTATCTGTGAAAAAAAATTATCAAAGAATTAACTAGCACAGCAAGAACCACACTACTTGATCTCCTTCCTTTTCTCAGAGATGGTGAGACACAAAATGGAAAAGACAGTGGGACTTGGAACAATCCTAATGTCTGCCAGTACTGGAGAAATAATGGAAGCTTTGTTCCATCACCCAAGAGAAAGAAGTACTAAAAGACATTTTTCCAAAGAACTCTGAAATGAGTATATACTTAATGAGAACTGAAAGCCTTAGCAACAACTGCTCAATGTTGCCATGCCATACCACCTAAGAAATCTTATTTTTCAGGCTTCCTCTTGATTCCGAAACTGGTAGGAGAAAAAGTTCACATAAAAGATATTTACTCAGGAGGTCAGAGAAAAAAATTCAAATTGTATCAGATTACTTGCATCAAGATTTCTCTGCCATGGGCAACAGGGCTCCAAATACTGTGCATAACTATCAAATATATAGCCTGTACACTGAACACCTCATGGTCCTAGAACATTTTTTGTAGTCAAGATAGAGGGACACACATCATATCTGGTGCAAGATATTTAAAGAGGAGACTGTAGCTTCAGAAAACATTACACAAAATGCATTAAAAGTAAGCATAAGTTACATCTGTAGGACCTGTCTTGGCTAAATCAATCTCAAATAAGGAAAAAACCCCTCTCTTTCAAAATTAACCAAAAACTTCATAAGCAAATCCAGGTTGGAAAATGCAATGCACAATAGGGAAGTGAAGGTAATGTCCTTAAATGTTCTTTTGTTTCCAAGAAGAAAGGTTTAATGACTCTCAGATAATCAGTACAGAAGTTAAATTTTATCCAGGAATGCTTCTGAACTGCACCAAATTAAAGAGAGAGAAGACTGAGGGACAGAAATAGGATTACCACTCAAATCTAAAGTGTACCTCTCTCCAACATTCCTTACTGCAGTCTATGTAAATATACATGTGAGCTGCCTTTACTTACTGACTTATTGTTCAGCACCTAAGAACTGAGCACATCGTTCTCTCCACCATACAAACCCACAGGATGCTGTAAACCCCATGAGCACCCAGGTATACAATAAAACCTGTCTGGATCTATTCCCTCTGAGGGAGGGTCATGACAGCTTCAAAACCAGTAGGGTTTGACAAGCAGTTCTGGCCACTGCAACATGTTTTGTCAGCAGCGCTACTGACACCCAGCTATATGCCATATAGCAAAGACTCTCTGGGTGCACTCAAAAATGTTTTATATTTACATTTAACTCTTTGCACATACCATATTGTATATAAACAGACATTCTAAAAAAAAGATGCGCTTTGAAGTAAAAATAAAAAAACTCTCTGGAAATGAGGCTGGAAACCCACTTAAGATTCTTCCATGTATCCCTTCTGCTATTCACCAGTGCATGTTTCAGAGCAGTGCTGTGAATGCCTGAAAGAGTGGGACTCTCTTAATCATGACTGGGATTCTTCTGGGATCTTCATCTAAGACTTGGATGAAAACATTATTAGGATTGCAGCACCCACAGAGTAAATAGAAGTGATGAACTGCATTATCAATATACATTGCCATTAGTACTGGATGTAAAGGGAATGCTTCAGTAGACAAAAGAACAAATAAACAGGTAAACAACTATTTGACAATTTAATTCAGCAGGCATTCAGCAGGAGTTGCAACATCAGGATGAAGGCAGAGTGGATGTCAGAATAAGGATTTTGTATATTCTCCAGATCAGTTAAAGCACTGCATTTTGAAACCAGTAGTTACAAATACGATTTCATACATCATCTAGTTCTAATCACAGTATCTTTATTCATAAATACTGATTCAAAAGGTATTTTAATTATTTGACAGAACTAATTGAATCATTTGAAGGAAGGCCAAGAAGGAAAAAAACAAAGACTTAAAGCTGGAAAAAATCTGCTAGGCTCTGATTCCAGTTTCAGCCACTTGCAGTAGAGATTTTTGACTATGAGATCAATTTCTATATACTTCTTTGTGACAGAAAATCTCCTTTTACATTTAAAATAGCAGTATTCTAGATACTTTAAAAATGCAGGGTAATAATTTCCAGCTTTCAATAAGTATTCATAAAACCTCCATGAATACCACCATGCTTTAACAGAGTATTTTGTTTCCAATCATTGCGAACTGATGTATTTCCAAAAGCTTGTAATGAAAGTCTCTGGAAAGGATCACAACTTTTCATTACGATCTGTATATCTTTAATGCCCTTAGTGTAGATTTTTCTGCTACACTGTTTGTAAAGTTACTGCTATTACAGCTATGTGGTTAGAAACAGTCAAGGATTTTCTGCACATCAAATTAATTTCTTAGATAACAAGTTTTACAAAAGCAGCAACTCAGCACAATATCCTTTCTGGTTAAACAGAGGAACAAACTAACTAAAAAAACAAACAAAAACCAGAAAAAAAACACTAAAACCAAACCAACTGAGTCTAGATAAAAGCTTACCATTTATTAGGCAGGGTTTATTAGGAGGCAATCCTGGCATTCTCTACAGCAAAAATTGGAAGATTACATAACAAAGGATTTACTAAGTGATTATGGGCACTGAACAGATGTCCTTCATAATACTGAAGCTAATTATATTGATAAATGACCGAGCACAAAAATGAAAATAAGTTATTGTAACCCTATGCGTACTTTTTGTACAATTTTTTTGTCTTTTTAGTCTTCTCCTAGCATTAACCAAAGAACAGGTCATCAGTTCAGCAATAGTTATTGAAGTCAATACAACTACACAGAAAACAGAATTTACGAATAAACACTTAAAACATATAATGAGGCAATGTTGCCCTTTTAAAATGTCATAATCTGTTGGTCAGATAATGATACAAACATCTGAGAAGAAACATGAAGAACATCTGACTAGAAAATAGTAACAAAAATGTTCCAGAGAACTAGGTTTTCTGAAATAAAATGTACCTTTGAGCCATCCAAACTGATTATCCTGTAGACATTTCTTGTGCTGTCATAGAAGTAGGACACAGTAACAGCATGCTTGCTGGTGGGAACCCAGTTCTTCTTAGTGTTTGGGTCAATCTGGAAGACATGAGCTCGGGTGCTGAAGATGGGTTGTTCCCTAAAGGACAGAGAGAAGAAATCATTAATCTAATTTGTACATACTATCTTTGCACACAAGCTGCCATTTGTGCCCATTTGGATGTACACAAGTTACTCTGCATGATAAACCTTGTCTCTTCTGAGTGTGTTGCTGCATAGAGCAGGAAAGTTTGTTAATATATATATGCAAGCAAAATGCACGTCTTCTTAGGCAAAAATCAGCTGTGGAGTCAGATAAACGCATCTCTAATAGAGACAGCATCTATTAGACATCTCTAATAGAGACTCAGCATTATCCCATCATCTCCCCAGATCTTCACTGCCCACCTATCCCTTTAAACTAAATGGCATTAATGCATGTGTAACTTCTCTCACTACATTGCACACTGCAGAATGTGCATAACTTCAAGTATAGTTCTCCAAAACCTTCTAATACTCTGATTATTCTCATCAATTTTTAGACTACAATCTGGATCTGAACTGGTTGATTCAATGCAATTACTTTAAAAATAGTATTAGTTAAAGGCAGGAACACGTGTTGTGAATCCTTCATTCTTTGGAGCTTTACACCTGAAGGTATTTATAACAACACTAAATAACGTAAAAAATACATTTTAAATTGTAAATTGCTTAGCAAATAAAATTATATGAGGTAGAAAAACCTTTATTATAATTTAGAATTTACAGCTTTTTTTCCCCCATGACCACTACCAGGTATGCAGCATTGCACAGAAATCTAAAACCATTTTACTATCACTAACATAGTGATAAGATGACCTTCTACAACAGAGTGACTATATCAGTGGACAGGGGAGGGCTGTGGAAGTCAGGTATCTGCACTTCTGTAAAGCCTTTGACACAGTCCCCTACAACATACTTCTGTAACATACTTCTCTCTAGACTGGAAGAGATGGATTCAGTGGATGGACAGTTTGGTGGGTAAGGATATCCTGGCTGGTGTCCAGGACTGTCACATCTAGAGGCTCAGAGTCCCAATGGACATCAGTGGTATGTTCATCAGTGACACAGAGAATGGGACTGATTGCACCCTCAGCAAGTTTGCACTTGACACCAAGCTGGCACAGCTGAAGTATGGCATGCCATCCAGAAGATGAGCTCTAGGTGAGGACCCATGGGAATCTCATGAGGTCTGACAAGACCAAGTGCAAGATGCTGCACCTGTGTCAGAGCAGCCCTGGTACCAGCCCAGGCTGGGGGATGGACAGATCACAGCAGCTCTGCCCAGAGGGGCTTGGGGGTGCTGGTGGGTGAGAGGCTGGACATGACCCAGCCATGGGCACTCCCAGCCCAGAGAGCCAAACGTGTCCTGGGCTGCATCCAGAGCAGCGTGGGCAGCAGGGCCAGGGAGGGAATTCTGCCCCTCTGCTCTTCTGAGACCCCACCTGCAGGGCTGCATCAGCTCTGGGGTCCCAGCACAGGAAGGACCTGAACCTGCTGGAGTGAGTCCAGGGAGGCCACAAGGATGGTGAGAGGGCTGGAGCACCTCTCCTATCAGGAAAGGCTGAGAAAGTTGAAATTGTCCAGCCTGGAGAAGAGAAGGCTCTGGGGAGACTTCATAGCAGCCTCTCAGTACCTAACGGGGGGCTACTGGTGGTAGTGGGACTTTTTTACCAGGGCATGCAGTAATAGGACAAGGGGTGATGGCTTCAGACTGAAAGAGGACAGGTTTAAATAAGACATTATAAGGAAATTCTTTACTATGAAGATGGTGAAACACTGGAAGAGGTTGCCCAGAGGAGATGTAGCTCTTCCATCCCCGGAAATGTTCAGGGCCAGGCTGGACTGGGCATTGAGCAACCTGGTCTAGTGGAAGGCATCCCTGCCCAGGTAGGCAGGTTGGAAGTATCTTTAATGTACTTTCCAATTCAAACTAATCTAGGATACTGTAGCTGTCAGTTTAAATTTAGCTACATTTTAATGACAAATGAATCAATTTGTCTGTATTCTAAGAAATGCTGCCAATTCCAAAGACAGTAAGTAGCAGGACTTTAGGCTGAATTTAACATTTTAGGTATTTTGAATCTCATTTTCAGAGTGTGAAAAAACACACCCTTTGACCTGCCCTCATTTTCTTTTCAGAGGTATGTTTTAAACACTTTTTTTTCCCCAAATAAAAGAAAGTGTAAAAAAACCCACAGAATTTTGGGTACTTAAAGGGGTTTAATTTGGCCTCACTAAAAAGGATTCCATGTGATCTCTGAAATAGCTCCATTGCTTGGCAGGAAGAGCAACTTTCAGTTAGTAGAATTGTATTACTCAGCTGGGAGTCAAGATTCCTTGAAGTTCACCAGATGACAGATATGGTGTTCTCCCTATGCTGGGTGTTGGATGAAATGACAGAAGCATGAAGAACAAATCAGAGACAGCAAAACAGAGTTTCAGTAAAAGACAAAGAAGGAAGGGAAGCCAAGGGGATCTATGCACATGCTAGTTCTCCACAGAAATGTACCCTCATCACCAATTCATCTTTTCCTTGTAAATCACCAGCCTATAGGAGGTTGCATAGCTGTTTTCCTCATCCAAATTTCTTGCACACAAATGTTACGCAAAGGTGGTGAAAAGGCTTTTATAGACCTTTTGTTTAAGAGAAAAAATAAATTCTTTTTGCTCTTTTCAATGTCTACAGTTACTTCTTCAATCATACTGAAACTTTAGTTGTCTTCAATATTAGATCTATTTTGTAATTTACCTCCCAGTTAAGCATATGCCAGCATCAAGGGATGCATATTAATATAATGCACCAGCTCTTTAACCCTGGAAAATTAAAGAGCCCATCAAAAAATATGGAAACAATCTTAGTAACCTGACAATTGTTTTGATAGATATTGACACTGAAAGGAAACTACAAAGGCTCCAACCATGTTAATTAAAGACCAAAGAAGAACTGAATCCAAGATGTAGATGTGTGGTTAATGAATATACATTTGACCAGCACTGATGTTCAGTTCATTCCCACAGTTCACAGTACAGTATATCACGTACACATGGGACTTTCAACACACCAGAGGTTAGGATTTTAATATGTAAATGTAGGTGAGTACTATATGGCTGAAGTGTGTGTCAATGAAAGTCAACTGTTCAGCCCTGAGATGCTGCTCTCCAGCACTCCATTTTATCATCATAAAAATCTTCCACAGCCTAAATATCCTGAATTTGTTTGATGAGGAGGCCTGCATGTTCCTGCTGATTGATCAGCAATGCTGCTCAAGACAAACCAGAGCACTTTGCAGGGCAGAGTGTGGGTCTGGCATAGACAGAGTTAGGTATAGAACAGTATAAATGAAGCTTACTTCCACTTCTTTAATCACTTCTGAAAAAACTAGAGTTACAGTCTTTTCTTTCTCTGTTTTAAGTATAGCTTTACTGAATGACAAGCTGTCTTTACTCCATGAAAAAAGCATAGCTCCCTTTGTTATATGAGTTGGATAAATCATGATTTTGCCAGATTACTGGGGTAATTAGAATTTTTTTCTGACAAAGACATTCAACTTCAGATGACTCTAGAATTAGACCAGTTTTGACATTTGACGATGAACATTTATAAAGATTATTTCTGCAACCTAATGGAAGTCATACACTATATGTCTACAGGATTAAATGTGCTATAGAACCAGTCACTGAGGCACCACTGAAGTCCTTCAAAGCTGCTGTAAAATTACATCATCTGTACTTTTCTGTAGCAACATACTATATAGAGCTACTTAAATTTTGGATTTCCTAAAATATCTGTGAACAAGCAACAGGTAACGTATAAAACATATAAAACTATTATAAATAAACTATAAAACATATAAAAATATTTGTAACTTCAGCCAATACATCTTTACATAAAGGTTTTGCTCTTCCGTTATCCACATAATCAAATGAAATAATATTAATTATAGGAATATTAGTTAAACAGGAAGATAGCTTCCTCTTTGCCTTCCTTGGTGGTCAAAAAATTAATTTTTTTTTTAAAATTATAATACATATTTCTATGTATAAAAAATAAGCCCCCTATTTTTCACAGGGTCACAGAATAAGATGAGTTGGAAGGAATCCTCAAGGATCATTAAGTCCAGCTGTTGGCCCTGCATAGCACCATTCCCTTATTTTTGTCCATATGGAGTTGAGAAAGGAAGAACAGCTTTAAAGAAGAAAAATCAATCCTGTAAAAAAAACAAACTACCCTACCAGTTTCTTACTCTTCCCTCTCTTCTCTTCCCCTTTAAGCTTTCTCTTCTTTATCGTTCATTATCAGAAGGTATTCAGTACTCATTAAAGACATTAATAGGAACTAAGACAAGAACTCCTCACTAATTACAAAGCAATTCATTTTTCCAGAAATATACAGATGCTGAACAAAAAGAAAACAAACTAACAAGAATGCCATAGTAACACAGTTTGACTATTAGAAATGTCTGCTCAGGCATGGCAGAAACATTAAGGCTCATATCCTGCTGTTTTTTATTGCCTTAGGCTGTAACATTACAGTCAGTGGTCAAACAAAGACTAACAAGAAGTTAGTAGTAACAAGAAGTAAGTGCCAAGTCCTCCTGGACCCAAGATGAGTAAAGAAGCGTAAGAAATATCACATTAGTAGGCAGAGTCATATCAGGCTTTTCCATAATCCATATAAAATATATAAATATAAAAATTCATTCATTGATACATGATCGGCCCTAAGGTAAGCTTAGGAGTGTCATGGAGTTACTTTACCTTTAAGGAAAGTTGGAGTTGCTGGGAACTGCCTGAAGTCTTTTCTCCTGACCAATTATCGGTCATTGCTGAGAATTGACAGCAGTTTAGGCCATTGAAAAGTGGGATCAACTTGTGAACCCTACCTTAAAGTGTAAAACCAGAGCTCTCTTGGTTCTCTTTGTTTCCTGGCTGTGAAAGGTAACAGAGCTCCAGGCCTCCCGTCCCTGCCCAGGCCATGCGGCCGGGCGGGGATGGGGCCGGGCCTGCCCCGTCTCCCGGCCGGGAGATGGGGGGGCCTGGGGAAAGTTTTCCTTGGGCCCGGGCCGGACTGAGCCGATCTCTGGCTC